TAGACCCGCCACCCTCTGTTTCCAGGACACCGATGGGCTACAGGGCTCCTGACACAGGAGCAGGTTAGACCCGCCACCCTCTGTTTCCAGGACACTGATGGGCTACAGGGCTCCTGACACAGGAGCCCAAGCGGGCAATGCTGCAGGCAGAGGAACAGAGCCTCAGCGTTCGCGGAGTCGATGCTGGACAGAAGGGAGGGAAACCTTTTGCTAAGGGCTGAGGTAAGAGGGAAAATTCCATGATCACTGGTGGAGACTAAGACCTATTTTTTTTTTAACTTTAGTACTCTTCAGACAAGACCTAGTTTTGTTACCAAACGTTCTTTTGGCCTCTCTTACAACTCATAATTGGGTGAGATAAAGCACATACCCACACATACCCTACATGCTGAACAGGTTTATACAGGACTTTAGAAGATTAGAACTTTAAACAAAACATTTTAAAGATAAAAAGTAATAAAAAAAACACTAAGGACGTCATACTGCTGCTGTTGTAGTAGGTAAAGGCTACATTTGATGATGCAGGCCTGCGATGACAGCGCTCAGGAGGCAGAGACAGGAGGATTGCAAATTCAAGGCCACCAGGTGAGACTCCCAGGAAAAAAATAACACTTGAGGACGATGTTTCCTGAGCACTGTGTACCGACCGGGTAAGTGAACACATCCTTTCACCCAGTTCTCACGACACCCCCAAATCCAGATCCTGCTGCCTACCACAGATGACGAGACAGGCCTGGGAGCCTAGGCCCTGACACTGGCGCACACCCAGTGACACCCCCGGTGAGACCAACGAGTCTCACCCCCAAAGCCAATGTGCTCTTCCAGGATGCACAGTTACTCATTTTACATTTACCCACGGAAGTGTCTGACTAACCGGTAGTATTCGGAAGCGGTTTCGAATTCTCCCAGGAATATGTACGCATTTCCCAGGTTGCTGTACGCTCTCCTTTCAGCTGCCTTATCTCCAAACTCTTTTGCGATGAGGAGACGCTGGAACAGAAAAACTTCATCAGACACAGAGAACCAAAGACCGTCCGATCGCGGCCCTCCACCCCGACGGAGGAAACGCTCTGGCTCCGAGGCCTTCTGCTTACCTGCTCGTGAGCTATAACCGCGTCCCTGAAGTTGCCGAGGAGGTAGTGTGTGTTGCCAAGATTCCCAAAGGCTCGTCCTTGGGCGGCTCGGTCACCTAGAGCAGTTACCAACGACAGGTTTTCCCTAATGATGACAAAAAGGGACGAGACTGTTAAGTTTAGGGGAAAGTTCTTAGTTGATTGACAGACAGAATTTCTCTTTTTCATAGCTGGGGATTTAAACCCAGGACCTAGCGCATCTAGGCCAGTGCTGGCCACTGAGCTATACTCCCAGCCCCAGAGTTTTTTTTTGTATCAGAAAAAAAGTCAGCATATAGTTACAGTGGCAAAATCTTAGAGGTACATTCTGAGGTGGGCAGTAATGAAATACTGGAATTCTTTATTCACTGGAACATCTGGTCTTTACTCAGAGTCAGCAAGAGATGAGCTTGGAGCCCCATAGCCAGGCAATAGTACTGGCCAAACACTAAATTTACCCCAAACTAAGCACTGCTATTTCTTGCTTTCACCACTAAGGGGCACTGGTCTGCAGTTGAAGCGAAACTGCAGTTTTCCGGCACTGCAGTACCATTTAAACGACTGTTTCCAATGGTTAGTTTTCCCGTTAGCCTATCATTTTTCCAGCTTTTGTTTTAGGTTTTTGGTTTTGTTAAAGACAGGATCTCACTGCGCCATCCTGGAACTCAGAATGTGGACTTTGAAACTGGTAGGGCCGGCGTGTGCTACCACAGTCAGTTGACCAGCTCACGAGTCCTACCTCTTTTTTGTTTGTTTTGTTGTTGTGTTCCAAGAGGGTTTCTCTGTGCAGCCCTGGCTGCCCTGGAACTCACTCTGTAGACCAGGCTGGCCTTGAACTCACAGAGATCTACCTGCCTCTGCCTCCGGAGTGCTGGGACTAAGGGGGTATGCCACCACTGCCCGGCTATTGCTCCATCTTTGACAGACCTGGAAACCTACTACTGAGTAAAGAACACCCTGGAGGCATCCAGGCTCACAGGCCCACACAGTCTGTACTCACTCATAGAGATCCACGGCTGCCTGCAAGGCATTTCTCACTTCTTCTGGAAACTCTCCTACATCCTGGGGACCAGGGCAACCAAAACTTTTCCCTTTGGCATGATACACATTTCCAAGATTGTAGAGTGCTCTCGCTTCTCCCACCTAGATGGAGACATCAACAAAGCTTACTTTCTGAAATCAGAGGCCAGGGGCTACACTGCTTATCTCATGGTTTATTTATGTGTTAGTGCTGTGTGTGTGTGCGTGATGTGTGTGGCAGTACGTGTACCCCGGGCACATGTGGAGACCAGGGCTCACTCCTCCCGCCCTTCCGCAGGTTCCCGGGATTGAAGTCAGATCACCAGGCTTGCACAGCAAGCGCCCTTACCCACTGAGCCATCGTGCCAGTCCCCATGTTTATAACATCCTCAGTACTACTGTCAAGGAAAAGAGGTATCCCCAGTGCCATCCACAGAGGGTCAAATACATGATTTTACTCACGAAGAAGGATCCTTTGCTATTTGCTTTTTCTATTTTTTTTTAAATCTGTTTTCTCTTTTACTTTATAGATAAACTACAGAAGCAGTATTGGAACACAAAACTATTTCAGTGAAATAACCGTCATCTGGCCTCCCGTCTTTATTACCTTGTCATTAAGCTCTCTGGAGATATCCAGGTGTCGCTGGCAACACACTACCGCTTCATCAAAGTTCCCAAGCACTTTTAAGGTGTTTCCAAGATTGCCACTGGCTTTGGCCTCCCCGAGTTGATCTCCAATAGTCCTAGGACATAAATGTGAAAAGTGAATGATGTTAAAACTATCTTTAAATCTTAAGATACAGACGGGCGGTGGCGCACGCCTTTAATCCCAGCACTCGGGAGGCCGAGACAGGTGGATCTCTGTGAGTTCGAGGCCAGCCTAGGCTACCAAGTGAGTTCCAGGACAGCCAGGACTACACAGAGAAACTCTGTCTCAGACAAACAACAAACAACAAACAAACAAACCTAAAGAGAGAGAGAGACAGAGACAGAGAGAGAGACAGAGAAGTCAAAGAACAGGTTTCCTAGAAGAGAAGAGGCATAGTTAAGATAAAACTCATTAATCTTGAAACCTATTTTAAATAATAAAAAAACTTCTACAGTTAATTTTCAACCATTTGATTAAGCTCTAGGGCTGTTTAATTACTGTTCAACTAAACTGTTTTGCCTAAAAATTAGTTTTCAAAAGTAATGCCATTAAATTAGAAGTCATTAAATACACTGTTGGTTTTTTAAGAGAATGGAAGTTTGTTTGTTTGTTTGCTAAGTAAGTTAATTTAGAGAGAGGGAGACTATAAGAAGCTGACATTACCTTGCAAGAGTCAAATCGTGGTGGTGGTATTCTAAGGCTTTGGCATAGTCATGTAGGTAGAAGTAGGCATTGCCCAGCTGGCTGTAAATAGCACTGAGTGTTTTGAGGTCTTCAGTTCCAACTTGAACGGCAGCTTCAAAGAATGAGACGCCAGCCCGGCAGTCCCCCGATTTACACAGGCGCTCTCCTTCCAAGGCCAGCTCAAGGCAGGAAGCTTCCATTCTGCAAAATGATATAGGACAGATACTTGGAACATTACAGCCATACCGGTGATGAACTCCCAATAATGTAAACGTATGGTGATATTTTATTTGTACTGAAATGTGATTTTTATTTTATGTTAATAAATAAAGTTGCCCTGGGGTCAGAGCTATTAGAGCCATAGCCAAGAGTGTGATGGTTAGAAGAGCTAGGTAGATTTCTGTGTGTTCAGGGATACAGGCAGTATTGGAGACATACGCCTTTAAGACCTGGAGGGCGGTACTTACAGGCAGTGATGAGGCAGTCATGTGGTTGGGTTTACAACCAATGAGAAGG